TGACTGATTCAAACTGGCTTCTCTCTTGGCCTCTGATGTATTGCTCTGCCTGGCCTCATACTAACTTTGGTAATATGTTCTAATCTTCTGGATCCTTCTCATTCTCTGGCTCATTCTGTCTTTCTGTGTCTGTGTCTAGCTTGTTCTCACTTCAAAAACAGTCTCTCTACAACTTTCCTAGTAAAACTGACTCCTCTCTTTCTCTGTGCTGCTCTCTTTTAAGTCCCCCCTCTTTCCTCTCTGTTCCTGTGAGAATTAGGCTTATCCTATCCTGTCAGATCTTTATCTGATTCATCACTTTGTCTGCTTCTCAAAGACTTTTAAGCATGGCTGCTTCTTCTACCAACTAGCTTTACTTTCACTGTGTGTATGCGTGCTAAGGGCGTATCTAGAGTAGCTAGAGTAGCCACGGTTGCTGAATTAAAATCCCTCTACACTTATCCAACCCAAGGCTCTGTTTGTGCCCCCACTTATATCTATCTGTTTCTCACTTATTTATGTTGGGTCTTCTTTCACTAGATGGTGAGCTCCAGGGACAGGGGCCATGCCTCTGTTACTCACCACTGCCACTGTCAACTAGTACAGCACTAGCATGCTGTAGTCCTAAGCACTCAGGGGGGCTGGAGACATAGCTCATCTGCTTGAGGGCTTGCCTCAAATGCACAAAGTCCTGGATTCAGTTTCCAGTACCACATAAAATGGTCATGGGGGCACACACCTGTAATCCCAGCACTTGGGAGGTGGAGGCAGGGCTACCCGGAGTTCAAGATCATTTTGAACTACATAGTGAGTGTGAGACTAGCCTGGGTCCTGTGAGACTCCATCTCAAGACAACAACCAAGGTATACACTGGGATGGATATGTGCTGACTGAGAATGCAGGAATGGCATTGGGAAGGAGATGCTTAGCTTTTCAGGAAGAACAAATTTTGTCCAGACAGCAAGAGGTAGGCACCTCTGGAAGTGAGTGACAATGACAGGTAAAGGGACCGGCTGGCCAAATTCTAATGCCTGTTCACTGACTCCAAATACAGGTGAGGATCTGGTTCCAGAATCGTAGGGTGAAGTACCAGAAGCAGCAAAAACTGAATTTACCTTCCTCCTCTGCCACGGAAGAGCCTTCTAGCAGCTCAGATGGCAGCATACAGAATGAAGATGCTAAGTCAGGAACTGGCAGTTACGGACCAAGGAAGAGGCTCTAGTCATGCTGTATGGGATAGTTCTTCATGTGGCACCTGCTGGCCCTCCCTGTTCCACATCTCAAGGAAGAGCTTCCTTAAGGTCAAAGGACAGCAAATGTGCTTGAACAATCAAGCAAGGGATCCCTGGGAGCAGAATAATGGACCAATCTATGTCCCTAGCCAGATTTTTCTTCTTGTAGATAGCAGGTACAATGACAACATACACATCTCTCCCAGGGTGAGCTGTGGCCTGCAAAGCACTTCTGTAGAATGCTACCCCAGTAGTGAGGGTTTCTGGTGGCCACGGTCTTCTCACCCAGCAAATGGAAGCACCTGTCCCAGCTCTGCCATGAAGATGGATTCAGCAGCTCTTTCCTGGCTGGGCTGTGAAGGAGGCGCCTTCTTGAATCAGCACCAGGCTGTGGCAGACGCTCCCCAGAGTCTGTGGGGAAGCAGATTGCTTTGGTCACTTCTAAGTTTCCTGTATTTCAACCCTACTCCTCTTCTCCCTTCTTTGTATCTGAAGATGGCTTTGAATTCCCAACCCTCTGCTTCCCACATGCTGGGGTTACAGCTTTTGTTTTCTGATACAGATTTTCATTATGTAGCACAGACTGAGCTCAAATTTATGGAAGCTCTCCTGCCGTGGCCTCTCTAGTGCTGAGGTAACAGGCCAGAGCAGCTATGCTTTGCTCAAAGTTTTCCTGCCTTGTCTGATATTGTAACTTTTAGTAAACGCTCAGGTCACAGCAAGCTCAGCTTTGTGGTAATTGTTCCCTTGGAGCAACAAGTTTTTTCTTGCCTTTTTTCCTGAATTTCTGTTGACCTCATTTTGTCATTTGACACCCAGCATTGACAATATAGCTTCTCCCTGAATGACCCTCTGACCCTGCTCAATTTCTTGCCAGGAAGCCTACTGAGAGCTTATTCTTGTAAAATCAGCCTCCAATGTGTAAGAGCTGATTTCTATAGTGTAGTCTCTTCATCGCAGTTCCTGGACCAAGGTGAGGTGAAGGGATGGAGAGCCTGTTCTTCCTCTGTGAGGTTGTTCTCAGGGCCCGGTTTTGTTTGGAAAGAGGAAGGAGCTAAGCTTGGCACGTAAGACAGTGGACTTTAGCCGGGCGTTGTGGTACACACCTTTATTCCCATTACCCTGGAAGCAGAGGCCAGCCTGGTCAACAGAGTGAGTTCCAGGACAGCAAAGGCTACATGGAGAAACCCTGTCATTACAAAAAAAAAAAAAAAAAAAAAAAAAAAAAAAAAAAAAAAAAAAAAAAACAAAAAAAAAAAAACTAAACTAAAGGGACAGTGGACTTGTAGACATTAAATGGGCAGACTTAAGGGAATCCAGAGCCTTGCCTCAAGAAGCTGTCCTCTAGAATTGGGCAAGGTGGTACACACCTGTGGCATTAGCACTAGGGAGGCTAAGGCAGAAGAATGGAGTCAAGCAGAGCTACCCTAGTGAGTTTGAGCTATGCCTAGATAAACAGTGAGACACTGTCTCAAAAACAAGAGCTGATGGAAGGCTCAGCAGGTACCAATTCTTGCTGCCAAGCCTGAAGATCTGAATTTGATCCCTGGAACTTACACCATAGAGGGAGAGACTCATCTCCCCCAGGGTACACCCCCACACACAGACAGACACACTCACAAAATACCTGTAAAAAAGCCAAAAACATCTGTAAAACCGGGGGCTGGCTCAGTAGTTAAGAGCACTTGTTGATTTTGTAGAGGTTGGCTTCCTAGCACCTACGTGGTGACTCACAAACATCCACATCTCCAGTTCAGGGGATCCAAAGCCCTCCTTTAGGAACTGGCTCACTCTGTGTGTGTGTGTGTGTGTGTGTGTGTGTGTGTGTGTGTGTGTGTGTGTACGTGTGTACACTCATACATGTTTATTGGAGGCCAGAGGACAACACTGAGTGTCTTAATTGCTCTTCTCATTTTTTTGAGTCAGGTTCTTCTGTTGAACCTAGAGCTAGCCCATTTGACTAAGCTAGTTGGCCAGGGAGCCCTAGGCATCATTCTGTCTCTACCACCTGATGCACGCCACCATGCTTAGCCTGTTACATGGGTTCTGGGGCTCAGACTCTAGTCCTCATGCATATGCAGCAAGCACAGCCCCAATTGGCTTAATTAAAAGAAAATTAGGAGGCAGAGGCAGGTGGATCTCTTTGAGTTTGAGGATAGCCTGGTCTACATGGCAAGTTTTATGACAGTCACGTCTACATAGAGAGACCTTGTCTCAGCTGGGCTGTGGTGGCACATGCCTTTAATCCCAGCACTTGGGAAGCAGAGACAAGTGGATCTTTATGAGTTCAAGGCCAGCCTGGTCTATAGAGGGAGTTCTATGACATCCAAGGCTACATAGATCTCAAACTTCCCTGAGAGGGAGAGCGGGAGATGGAGGGACTTTGTCTGAAAAAAAAAAAAAATCCAAAAATCAAAACAAAAAATCACTAGGTTGTTATCCAATCTTCATATGTCAGCATGAAACCATAACAGACACAGGTCTGTGGTCCAAACTAGCTGCAGGAACAGGAACACCTGTCTCCCATGTGACATTCATAGACATTCATTTCTATATCTAGTTAAGGGGACCCTCTCGCTACACTCCATAACCTCGCTCTGCGATGTCAAGAAAGTCCCTGACAACTCTCAGAGGCACCAATCCAACCTGGTTAAAGTTTATAGACAAAGAAAAATTTTCTTTTTAATTTTTGTTTCAATTTATGTATACGGTTGTCATGCTCTCGTGCATATGTGTGCAGCACGTGTGTGCCTGGTGCTGAAAAGGCTGAAGGGGGCATCAGAGCCCTTGGAACTGGAGTTAGTAGCACAGTTGTAAACCAGTGATGAGAACCAAACCTGGGTCCTCTGCTAGAGCAACAGGTGTCAATTGCAAGGCCACCCCTACATTTTGTTTTTCAGGCAGGGTTTCATGTATTCTAGGCTAGCCTTGTGTTCACTATGTAGTTGAGGATGACCCTGAGTTCAAAGGTTATAGGCATAGGTTTCATGTTGGGTTTAAGGAGTGTTGGCGCGCAAACCTCAGCACCCATGCCTTGAAGGCAAACTCTCTACCAACCCAACCGTAGAACAGAAATGTTGCCAATGCGGGGAGGAACAAATTTTAAACTGTGAGTGTGCCCCAGCAACTAAACTGCTTCTTTTCAGGATGAGTGTCAAAGTGAAAATGAGTAAGTCAGCCTTCCACTGTCCAACACCTTCTCTGGGTCTAAAAAAGGGCATTGTTTAGTGTTGGGAGTTGGTGACGGGCTTCTGAAGCAGGAGGATGGCTGCGAGCTCCTGGCTAACCTGGGATACATAGTGAGACCCTGTCTCAGAAACAAGCCGGCGAGAAAAGAAGCAACAATGGACACTTAAGAACTGGCATAGACTAGGGTTTCCCCCTGGGCTACTCCATCAGATGTCATCCGTTATTCTTGAACTTCAAGATAGGCCGTCGAGTCACACACAGACTACCATAAGTACAAGCACACAGGCGGGCCCTGTTCCAGCCAGTCAAGCAACCAATACACCAAACGCCTTGACTTGCTGCAGAGCTCGGCACATCCCGGGGGCAGGGTAGGATCGGAGAGTGAGCGCTCTCGGGGCTTAGTGGGCGGGGCCTCCCGGGGTGGGGTCAAGGGTCAGAAGGCGGAGGCGTGCCCAAGATGGCGGCCTCCATGTGCGACGTGTTCTCCTTCTGCGTGGGCGTGGCGGGCGGCGCCCGGGGCTCCGTGGAAGTCCGTTTTGTGAACAGTGCCAAGGTGAGGCCGGATCGGACCCCGCTCGGAGAGCCATTCCGGGGACCCATTCCACAGCCTTGGAGTACGGCCCACTCGGCGCCGGGCTGGCCCCTGCTCGGTCCCGGGACGCAGGGTCTGTTCTCGTGCCGGGGATCTTGCCCGGGCTCGTGGCGGTATCGCGCGGTGGAGGGTAGGGGGAAGCCCAGCCTGGGAGCCTGCGTGAGCCCCCCTCCCGGCGGAACCCAGCCCACAGGCGGGTGGCCGTGCTGCTGCTGTTCTGGGTGGAGTTGAGGCTATAAGAGGTCTTGGGGTTGGGGGATATCCTAGGCCAGGTTGAGGGGCTCTTGGCAAGGTTGGGGCTCACGCTGTTCAGGAGGCAGTGGTGGCGGAGTGCTTAGCCCAGCGAACTGAGGTATAAAGCAGCGTGGGCCCCAGCGACCCTTCTGAGTTATGGGTGGAGACTTGGAGAGCTAGGGGACTTGGACTAGAGCGCACACACCGAGCGCTCATCTGAAGGGTTTTAAGCAAGAAAATGAATAACATGATTTCGTAATTTGTATTATCGTGGGGTTTTTGTTTTGTTTGTTGTTTGTTTGTTTGGAGGCAGGGTCTCACCATGTAGTTCTGGCTGCCCTGGAACTCACTATGTAGACCAGGCTGGCCTCTGCCTCTCTATTCCTGGATTAAAGCCGTGTCACTCTGGCTCTAATTATGTTTTATTCCTTGTAGAATAGAAAATGCATATAAGATAAAAATCACTCAGTATTGTACTTGTGTTCACACACATATATATGTATATACACACACATATAGGTACATATATATACGTGTGTGTTTGTATGTATATGTGAGTTACATCTTTAAAAACTACTTCTCATTTGAAATGAGGTCCTCTTGTACTTCATGATGGCCTTGAACTTCCGATGTAGCTGAGGCTGGCCTTGAACTTATCCTCCTGCTAGCACCTTCCAAGTCCTGGGTTACCAGCATGGTGGTAGCTGAAACACCCCCAGCCCCACCCATTGCCACGCCTCCCCCTTGTTTCTTTTTATGCATCTTTTTAGTACTTCAATATTAATGAGCCCATTTTTACTTGGTTAAAGGGTTGACTGATATTGTGTCAGTGGAGTGTCACACTTCACTTAACCAAATCCTTATTTATGGCTCCTTTATGTCATATCTTATTTATCACCCCTGAGAGCAGAGGTCTTGCTGTTGGGTTTCAGTGCATGTAGACTTTTGTTCTCTCCAGCACTATTCCCTCTATGTCTTTGCCAGTTGACATATGCAAAGTGGTATTTTATTTTCATTTGCAGTCCTCTGAGTAAAAGTCAGGTTGAATAATAATAATGATGATGATGATGATGTTGTGCATATCCTTGGCCCTTGGCCCAAGATGTCACCTCTCTGGTCATCTGCTGTCAGCATCTCCACATCTGACTGGGTTCTCATTATAAGCTTCTCTTGCTTTTCTGCTTCATAGGCATTAGAGACACTTCTCTCCTTCCTCATACCCTTTGTGTCCTTAGCTGCTCATATCCCCATCAGCACCCAGAGCCTCTGGTGGTCTTGGGGCCCCACAGATTGAGGTGCCTCGATCCAGTGGTACCTGTTATCTCTACTAGCCCTCCTCTATCTTGGCCCCCTCTTTTCTTCACTTCTCAATTTTTGCTTCTACTAGTCTTGTCCAGTTCTGTCCTAGCCTTCTCTTAAGACCACAGCTGGTGACTGGGTCTAGTAGCCCTGGCCTGTATTCCAGCAACTCAGGAGACTAAGGCAAGAAGACTCCTGTGAGTTCCAGGCTAGCCTTGGGTACAGAGTAAAATCCTGTCTCAAAAAAAAAACCAAACAAAAACAAAACAAAAAAAAACCTCCAGCTGGTCACATTCCTCTGCCTACCCTAATCTTCTGTAGGGGAGACTCACCTTCCATGTGGACTTATAGCTTATTTTGGTAGCTGTCTTTAGGCTGCTGGCAGCTAAAGTCATCTGTTGGGGTTGTTTGTAATTAGTCTTTCCCTTTGTGTCAGCTTCCTCAGATTGCCACCTAATACTCATGCCTGGTTTAGGCTTAGGGTAATGAGAATTACTTATTCTTTGAAAGTTTTAGAGAACTGCCTCCTGAAGTATGATGGGAAGGACAAGAGTAGGGGTAGTTTTCAGCCACTCTGTTCTGCTTCTATGGATATCTACATATCTATGAACTGTTTTTTGTTTGTTTGTTTGTTTTGTTTTTGTTTTTTGGTTTGGTGGTTGTTTCTTGTTTTGTTTTGTTCTGTTTTGTTTTTGGAGACAGGGTTTCTCTGTAGCCTTGGCTGTCCTGGACTCACTTTGTAGACTAGGCTGGTCTTAAACTTACAGAGATCTGCCTGCTGCTGCCTCCTGGATTAGAGGCATGTGCCACCACCACCCAGTTTATCTGTGAACTGTTACGCCAGAGACAAATCAGTGGGGACTAAAACCTAACGAGGACTAGTAGGTGCCAATTGGAAGGGTATACTGCTCTGTGCACTAGCTAGAGCCCAGCATGGGTCATTAATTTGGGCTTGCTTCCTTTTAAGTTATTTTGATAGCCAGACATGGTGGTGCACACCTTTGATCCTAGCACTGTGGAGGCAGAAGAGGCACACGGATCTCTGTGTGTCTAAGGCCAGCCTGGTCTACAAAGCAAGCCCAGGACAGCCAGGGCTATAGAGAGAAACCCTGTCTTGAAAAACCGAAAAAAGAAAACAAAACAAAATTACTTTCATAATTGAATTTTTCTAATAATCACTTACTGGGGATGTTATATTTTTAATGGACCCTTATGTACTTTAAAGTATTCTGTTATTACTTGTGTGTATGATATGTATGTGTATCTGAACATGGCTTCATGTGTGCCATATACATGTAAAGGTCAGAAGACAACTTTCAACTTTCAGTAGCTGCTTCTCTGTTTTCACTGTGAGGTCTGGAGACAGAACTCAGTCATCAGGCTTGATGCAGTAAGTATTTTCACCCACTGAGCCATTGGGCTGGCCTAATAAAGACTGTCGAATATACTGTCTGGTCTAAGAGTTTTGTATAATTCTCTCTTGAAGTTTGTCTTCCCTCCCTTTCGTTCGCCTTTCTCTTGTCCTTTTCTTCCTTTTGATATAGAACCCATTATATTAGTGGTTCTCAACCTGTGGGTCATGAGCCTTTGCGGGTCTAATGACCCTTTCACAGGGGTCACCTAAGACCATCAGAAAACACAGATATTTACATTACAATTCACAACAGTAGCAAAATTAGTTATGAAGTAGCAACAAAAATAATTTACGGCTGGGGGGCTCACACAAGAACTGTCACAGCATTAGGAAGGTTGAGAAACACTGCATTATTTAGTTCAGGTTAGCCTTGAATGTAAAGTAGTCCTCTTGCCCTAGCCTCCCAGATCCTGAGAAGCAGATGTGAGCCACAGTGCCCAACCTTTCATGCTTTTTGATCTTATGCATTGGAGATGTTTTTCTTGAAATACTTTTGTATGTTTGAGGAATTAAACAACTCTTGGTTCTTTTCTCTTTGTTTTTTATTTGTTTATTTTTGTTGTTGTTGATGAGTGGTCTTGAACTCCTGATCCTCCTTCCTACTAAATACTGTCTTACAGACACCAACCACCATTTCTCTGGTTCTCCTTTGCTTTAGTGACTATTTTCTGCATTTGGTCTTCCAGGACCTAAGGAAGAAGGAGATCTATAGTTATTCTTCCTCTCCCCATCATCTCCCCTACCCCCACTCTCACCCCGATCCCCAGGGTTTCTCTGTGTAGCCCTGGCTATCCTGGAACTCACTGTGTAGCCTAGGCCTCAGCCTCAGAGATCTGCCTGCTTCTGCATTCCAGAGGATGAAATAAGTTTGAAGCCAGCCTGGGTGTTGGTGGTGTGAGGTGGGGGGAAGGACATGGAAGGGAGAGAGGGTGGGGAGAGAGAGAGAGAGATGAGAAAAAGAGGAGAGAAAGGAGAGGAGAGAGAAAGAACAAGGGTTGTTTCCTCAGTCTTCATCTTGATGTGCCAGGTGTTCTAGGCTAGGCTTCTTAACCTTTGGTGCTGGGATTAAAGGCATGCACCACTACGCCTGGCTAGTTTAAACTTCAAGATCTGAAATTTCATAAGATTACATGGGTCTCTCTTCTTGCTGCGTTGTCCCATCCAGGAAGGCTGAGTTTTCACTTTGCTTGGCTGATCCCAGGCACAATGAAGTGTAGCAATGGGGCCTCCAGGAAGGCTAGCCAAGGGTGTGTCCTGGGCTTTGCCTCTGTCTTTATTTTACTTGCCTTTTTCTATAGTTAGTGTCTAGAGCTGGGTGGTGGCACATACCTCTTATACCTATCAAGAAAGAACTTTTTCAAGTTCAGGGGCAACCTGGGTTATGTAGGGAGACACTGTTAAAAAAGAAACTGTCTTGGTTATGCATAGGTTGAGATTTGCCCATCTGTACCCAGTGTCAGTGCTGAAGGGAAGCTGCTGTGGCAACCACAGTGACAGGGCATTTTTTTCTCAGTCACATTGTGATGGCAGCTTCTCTTTGGCAGGAGTGCCATCACTTGCTAACACAGTAAGTGTCAGGAGAATCATTAATTGCCTAGGTTCTTGACGTGCAAAGTGTGCCAGGCTAGGGTTCCCCAACCCCTAGACAGGGTTTCTCTGTATAGCCTTGGCTGCCCCAGATTATGCTCTGTAGACCCTAGGCTGGCCTTGAGCTCAGAGATCTGCCTGCCTCTGCCTTCCTAGTGCTGGCTCAGGCTAGGCTTTTAAACTCTTAGCATGCATAGGAATCTTTTGGCCTGTGAGATGGCTCAGATGGGAAAAGTGCCTGACAACTTGAGTTCATTCCTTGGATCCCATAGTAGAAGGAGAGAACAGACTGCTGTTATCTGATTGCCATTCAGCACTCACATTCAAGCATGTACATCACACACACACACACACACACACACACACACACACACACACACACA